CTTCATTCACGTACTAGGACCTGAAATATCACAAACAAGAACAACCTAGCGTGAAATCTGCTAAAACACGAGAATCAACATCTCAAACGGTGAAAGAATAGGGGTAAAAACATGTGCAATTAACGGTCTATCAACCGTCGACGACGGAGCCTTGGTTGGCCTCGCCGCCACGGCACCCATCGCGATATCAATTGAACGACTCAGATCGAAAAGAGAGAGAAAGAGAGAAAGAGAGAGAGAAGCAAATTTATTTTGGACCTTGGACACATTTGTTTCACTTTTTACATATTAAAATATTTTATAAAATCTATCTTTAGTTAAAAAACACATTTAACACATTTTCTAAACTTTCATTGAAAATCACTATTAAATCTAAAGTATGTTACTTAATTTAATGTAAAATGCATCTTACAAAAAATAATTCATTGTATTACTAAACACACTATTCACCGTTTCGTTGACAAACTTTAAGATTATAAAAAAATACTCACTTTCCATCAATTTTTTCTCTAAAAATCTTATCAAACGTATTTTCACCAAACTTTATAAAAATTTCTCCAAATCATAGTTAGTAAATACCCCGTTTAATATGCGTATATATGAACACACGTATTTTATCGTTTAATTTTTTCACCATACTATTATCAGACCGTTCCACTTTTTCTTGTCCATTTGATGGCCCCATACTAAACACGTATAAAACCTGTATAACACGTTTAATATCCATATTGAATGAATTAAATTAATAACTTAGAATATTATTTATACATCTATCTATCAATAAAATAGATTGCAGAGTTTCAAAATAAATCATTTGTGGCATTCACCATGTTAGAGTTTTATGAAAAATCATTTTAATAACAAATTGGAATTCACACAATATTGAAAATAATATTTGCAAACTCAAGTATTATAATTTTTTTGTTTTCACTATAGGGTGAGAGCAGTTTGAAGAAATACACGTTCAAAGTGGACTAAGAAAAATTAGAAAACATCAATTAACCGGTTACTATGGGATTTAATTTGTAATTACTTGTTCCTAAAAAGGGAAACAAAATCATAGTTGCATTTTTAGGATATTTTCCCTTTACATCACATGAAAAAATAATAGGTAAATAAAAAAATAACATGATAAATGGTTGTAAACCACACAGGGGAATTTTTTTTCTTTCTAAACTGCATTGTGATTGGTTAAAAGAGGCGATGACGTGGAAGTCTAAGAAGAAAGAAAATTTGAATCATGAAGCTCTGTAACCACTGTTACTGGAAAGTCTTTATTATACTCATCGGCACCATAGTATTGGCCTTAATATTAATAATTAATGATTCTTTTTCTATCTCCTCTCATGACCTTCTCCATAACCCTCTCTTAGCCAAACTTAATATTTTCCTTTTTTAAAATTGAACAAAAGTGATTAAATTTGATATTTTCCTTCTTTTTAAAATGGAAATTGAAAATTAAAAATATCCGTCCTTTCTAACTTCGTGGCAACTTGCTATATATTATCATTCTCAATTATCATAAAGCACAATATAGATTTTCAACATCATCGACACTTGCAACATAGTGCACTATGATGTTGTGAAGGAAACAATAGTAAGGAAAAATATTAGTTAAAACAAACCAACATTCACACCAAGGCTCCAAACTCTTAATAACAATATAACAAATCATTGATAAAAAATAGTATTTCGTTGAAAATAAATACAAAACATCATTATAATAATGTCTAACTTCAACATTAAAAAATGAGTTCAAGCTTTTAACAATGATATTAGTCACTCATAAGGAAATATAATTTATTTGAAAATAAACACAATTAATAATATTCAGATGCAATGTTTAATATCAAATACCACTAAAAACACAATTTGATCTCAAATCCGTACCTTGCAGCGGTTGACTCGACATATATATGCGACCCATTTCAAAGTGGGTCAACCAGTAGATCAACCCACGGGTTGACAACCTTACATACACCTAGTTAGGAATAACATTTCACATTTAGGTGGTATTATTTACGTCTTTTCCCAACATATTTAATAGCGATAATCAATATGGTGCAATAATATTATTAGTCGGAAGAAAGAATGAAAAACGACCTATAAGGTTCACAATTCCAGCAAAATAATCCTAAAAATGAGAAAAACTAGGAAAAAAGTGAAGGACAATGAGGAGGGGGATGGGTATAGGTTGTCCACACCGGCACACCCCAAAAGGGAGAGAGAGTTCTCTCGCAGGAAAGTCATCCTTGTTTCTTAATTATTATTTTTTGTTGCAATAGGGGGGTTTGTTTTCGATACTTCTTTATGCTTTTGTTTGCAGAATAATGAATTCAAAATAAATAATAAACTAAAAGTTTTTTTTATCGGTGATTGCTAAAAGTTTTCCATCTTATTTTTAAATTTGGTATTTCGAGTACAAATTGAAGTTGTACTTTAAATACAAGTTTAGATTATATCATAAGGTAATTTATACCTATAAGTAGAGGTGATAAGCAGTTGTCTTACTCGGTTAATCACATAACTTAACCGAAAATATCGATTAATCGGCTAACTGATAACCGTTTATTATCATCGTTTGCAGTGTCGGTTTGGGCGTTTGTGAATTTTGGGTAACCGACGTTTGGCGGTTTATAACCAACAATTGCGTCGGTGCACCACATACTCGACAACCACCCTCCTTTTCCCCTGATATATTTCATGAATATCCAAATCCCAGAATTGACACCGCCGCCCCTTCCTTCTTTTGCTGTCGTTCTCGTTTCACGCAACCACACAACATCGTCCACCACCTTTGGCTTCGCTTGAAGGTAGAGAAGGGGGACATGCAAGAAGGAGTTCAACGCAGAGTGAGTAGTTGAAGGAGTCGGCGGAGCGTGGAGGTCCATCTGTTTCGGTTGAAGAAGAGGGCTTCGCTTTCTGTTTCGAGTGACAACGGAGGTAGTGGGGTGGAAGAGTAAAACAGCGGCGACAATCAGAGCTACAAATCCGATCAGATCCAGCATGCTAGTCGCGGCCCCTCTCTTCCTCTAATGGATCCGTCGCCCCGCCATCTGCATCCTCCTAGATCGATCTTCCTGCAATCCTTTGCCACCAGGCTTCAATTATAGTGAATGGAAATTGGAGAGGGCAGATGATTTGCAGTTACGGATCTAACCGATCAACCGATCCAACCCACTCGGATTCGGTGTCGGCTAACCGATATCCCCTTTCGACGTCGGTGATGGTTAACTGTCTCGGCCCCAAATTGGTGTTGGGTAACCGATAATTCGGTGTGGTGAAACCGAAACCGCACAAATTATCAAGCCTATTATCTCTTTAAAAGAACAAGTTACAAGTTTACTGTTTCTTAGAGTCACATCAAAACACTGTCACTTGGTTTGCTTTTTTGCCTCTTGTTCTCCTTTCTGATTGGCCCTTCTTCTGAGTACTGACATCCATAGGTGGCTCTCTTTTGTAATTAACCATTAACCAAGGTTTTACTGAGGACGAAAAATGCACTGATGTTTCCTTTCTTTGCCAGATTTTAGCTGAGTCTTCGTTTGTAATCATTGCTTTCCTCTCTCTGGTCTCTATGCTTTTTGCCTGGGTTGCTTCGCCAGCGACTTCTCTTCTCTCTGCAACTCATCGGTTTTCGGAACTCCTCACCTTTCCCCTGGAAATGACAGGACTGCCGCTTCCTTATCTGTTCCTTTCCCCACAAAAGTCTTGTTTTGCTTTGCTACCTTTCATTTATGCTCCTCACAGACTTTCCCTCTTCTATCTTGCTTTCTTCTATTGCTCTTCCATGGTGACCCATAAATTGCTTCTTGACCTCAGCGACTCCGATGGCCCTCAGACTCTTCTGAAGCTGCGCCTCCTTAATGCGTGGGGGTCTTATGGTCTGAAGAATCCTAAATTAATCTTCAACTACTGCACTCTTTGGAACGATGAGGAGGTTAGCGCTGCTTTTCTGTTTTTTTTTTTTGCCATGCAGTTTTGCGCCTCCCTTTTGTTTGCAGCCCTCTGATGTTCGTGTATTTCCTGCCCAGGGTACTTTGATTCAGGGCACAGCTCCGTCGGAACTCACGCGCCATTTTGCTCCGCTTCTGCAGTTGGGTAGCGTTTACTTCGTTAGCAATTTCCGCGTCAAGCCACCGTCCCCTTCGTATCGTTCTTGCTCTCATAAGTTGACCATCGTCCTCTCTGCCGCTACACAGTTCGAAGACGTGACCCGTTCGTCGCCTTCATTCTGGCCGGATGCGTTTGAATTTACACCGTTCAGTTCGCTTCATTCCCGCATACGCTCATCGGTTTATCTAACAGGTCTTATTCTGTGTCCTTTACGTCTCTTGCTGTTCGTTTTATAGTGTACTCAATAACATCCTTTGCGTTCTTCTCTTGCTTGCGGCTCTGTCAGATGTCGTTGGCGCTGTTGTTAGCATCACAGGCGTTTCTAGCACCGTCACTTCATTCGGTACCACTGTGCGTAGTGATTTGGTGCTTCAGAATGAAAAGTATGTTACACATGCACACCACTTCTTTATCGACTATAATACACCTGTTACTAACTTTCGGTGTTTCGTTGCCAGTCACATGTTTCTTGATATCAGCCTGTGGAGTGAGATAGCTCGGAATCTCAATGGTCAGGAACTGGCTGTCCTTGGTCGTTCTGGGCCAGTTATGCTAGCTGTTTCCTCACTTCGGGTCACTGGCGCTACGAAAGGTCTCCATATACCTTACCGCCGCAGGATTCTCCCTTTCATTTCCCTTCCTCTTTTCCTCATTAACTTTACCCCTTTTGTAGGAGGTTACTCTCTTACCAGTACTCCAGGCACACGTTGTGTTCTCAACCCTGTTTCTGAAATGGCTCACCTGGTCCAATCTGTGTATGCCTCTTCTTATCCTTATCATATTTTTTTTTCCCTCAGCATCGTCAGTTGTCTTTTTGTTCCTGCTAATTTGTTGCGTTCCTTGCTTTTGCTTTCGCTAGGTTCTTTGCCAGCACTAATACATGTCAATATTACCCTCCGAGGTTTGCAACTCCTAATGAGGCAGCGGCTTTTGAAGCTGAATGTACGAAGACTGTAGCACAGCTCCTTGCCTTGTGTTTTCCACCTGCTGCCGATGTATGTTCCTTCCCCTTTTGCTCTCCTGCTTACCTGCTTCTGTTCCTTTCACTTCATTTGTTTGTCCGTCTAATCGTTTCTTCCGTTTCCTTTTGTGTAGTCTACGCGTTACCATTGCTCTGGTCGGATCGTCTCGGTTGATTCTTCTATGCAGTGGTATTACTTGGGTTGTGCGCTTTGTTCCAAAGCAGCCATAGATTATGATGGTGTTGACAAATGGTGTGATGACCACCGTCGATTGGTGCCTCAACAAACACAGAACTTGTAATTCCTTTCTTCATTCTTGCCCCCATACCTTTTGCCTTTTCTCGTGTCCTTACATGCTCCTGTACGTGTTTTGTGCAGTTACAAGCTCCGGGTAACAGTTGATGACAACACTGGATCAGCAGCTTTTGTTCTGCTGGGTAGGGCCGCTGACCTTCTTGTGGGCTTGACTGCTAACGATCTCTTACCAGGTTTCCTTACCAGCGCAATGTTTTACCACAAGAACTCCTGGCTCTTGAAGGGCGAGACTTTACTTTTGACGTCCAGCTTCCAAAACCGGAATATGGGTCTCGTGGCCCCCCAGAGTTCACGGTCCTTGCTGTCACTGAACAAGAACAACCAAATTCCTGCTCACCAGCTCTTGGTCGCCGGGCAAGAAATGCTATGTCCCATACACCACCTCCTAACAGGTATTTAAATGTCCTGACTTTTGTGGTACGTTTTCCTTTTGTCATTACTAATCGCTGCTTTCCGTTGCAGTCCTCACAAGATGCCTCTTGCTTCTCCATATGTTGTTCCAACAATGCCGAACGCTTCGGTAGACCATGGTCCTTCTGTTGCTTCACCGAGGTTATGCTTCCATTTTACATGCCCTCTTTTCCCTGATTGTTCTTTGTCTTGAACTCGGGTTTCTTCTTAAATTTGCAGTGGGAGTTCTCAGCTTGCATTTTCTACTCCTCCACGTCGCCCCTATAGCAGGTTGTTTCTAAAATTCACTTTGCTTTACAAAATTGACAGCGCTCCTTTGGACGCTGTCGTACTCTTCCCAATGTGTTGACATTTCTTTCCCATGCGTTGTTTACCATCAATTTCCAGTAGCCGCATCGCTGCTGTATCTTCGCCCTCATCTGCTGCATTAGGAAGGTTGTCTGTTTGTTGTCTGCTTTGCTAGCTTAGTTCTGCTTATACACGTTCTTAAGTCGTTTCCTGACATGTTTCTTTTAAACATCAGTTCCGTACCTTCTTCTCCCGAACTTAGTCGTACTGAGATTGTTTCCTATGCGCGGTCAGTTTCTTGCCTTTTCCTGTATTACCTCAATCGTTCGACTTTACGCCTGCTGATATTTGTCACTGTCTCTTGCACACCCGATTTTACTGCTTCGTAGGCCTAGAAGTGAGGAAGTGCCCCCAGAAACTGCACCACAGCGAACCCCACAGTACTTTCCCTACTGTTAACTTACTTACTAGCTTTTATTGTCTCTTCTTTCCTTGCTGAGCAGCTCTGTATCAGGGAACTTGCTGCGGACACTACAGATGCTAATGTGCAGAACAAGAACATCAGTTCAAAGAAAGCGAAGCCGAAGAAACCATCTGCTAAGAAGAAGTCTCTCTGCCCTTTATTACTTGCTATGTTTCTTGTACCAAATTTACCATATCCTACATTAGGTCTTCAGTTCCTATTTACCTTGCTTCTGCTTGCGTACTGGCAATTTACTTGGTTGTTGTGCAATCTCTTAAAAAAATGTGCCCTGCTCCCTACCCATTTCCCAGTGTTCTTTCGTTTTACCACTTACTTGGTTGTTAACTGTGCATACGCCACTATTGCCTCTTGGAATCCTTGTGTTTATCATAGTATCCTGCAGTGTACTTCGATTTACTGGCCTTACCTTCTACAACTTTGTTTTAACTTTTGCAGGAAAACTGGTGCTGCAGGTGCTGCGCGTCGTCCTACAGTTACTCTTGAAGAAACCGATGTTCCGATAGCGTCCCTTCAGATCCCTGTTGGACATCCTTTGCCAACCGAATCGGCGAATCCTGTCTCTGGAAATCTTAATGCCCTCGGTGTCAATTTGCAGACAACAACAATTCAGCCTTTGTCACAGTATGTGTCGTCCTAATTATCTTTCTGCCAGTGTTGTCTGCTCCCTAAGATTCCAGTTTGCATGATTTTTGTGCCCTTTTAAAACTGATCAAAGATGGTTTCCAGCCTGCACAAAATACTTATTTTTGACGGGAAAGAACTGTAAACAATGCTTTTACATTTACCTTGGTCTTGTGCTTTTATACATGGTTCTATGTCGTTAACATAAAGTACAATAGCCGATGGATGGCCTTTTGTACCCCTTTCTTCGACCTTCGCTAACTTACACGTGTTTACAGTTTGCAGACGCACAATGTTACCTCTCAGTGCCATACTAATTATCTACGAATGTGTTACTTTTTTTAAATACAGAACAAAATAAACAAATAGTTGTAGCTTTTGCTTACTTGGTCAGCTTCAAATCAATTGTTTTCCCACAGATTGAAGTAATAATCGTCTTACTTTATGGAGATCCCTTGTGCAGTTTGTTCTTTGTTGTTAGCCATTGTCTTATTCTTGATTTACAAGTTGCTGCCGCATTGCATAGGAATGTGCATGTTTTCCCATATAGATGTGTTGTTAAAGACCTACTTCCTCTGTTTCCTTTTCTAGGCAACCTATGTCTATAAATCCTGCACCTGTACGGCGCCGTCGCTTGGTTGTTTATTCTGATGAAGACGAACCTGTTGTCCCTTTGGAACTGCAAGACTTGGATGTTGAACTTCCACTGCAAGAACAGCCTGTTGGAAACTCTTCGACTTATCCTGTTCCCACTGTTGACGTTCCTTTGCCTTCTCCTCTTCTTGCTGTCCAAGAAGTTCCGCTACTTTCAGTGGGGAAAACTAATTCTGGGAGGGCAAAGCGAATCAGAACACCGTCTACAAAGGCCATTGAAGCATCTGTGGATGCTTCTAAGAGAAAGCCAAGAACTCCAAAATCGTCTGCTAAGGAACCTGCTAAGAAGCAACTGTTTGCTGATTAACCGTGATTCGCACCATGCGCGTGCTAATGTACCATGTTTGTCCAGTACTGTCCCTCCCTTCCTTTTGTAGAACTGTTTAAGGGGAACACTATTTAGCGAGTGTACATTCTGTACTCTTGCCTTTTTGTCTGAATGTTGCAACCTTTGGCACACCTGTGGTGTTCCATTACTGGCACCACTGTTATCAATCTGCTCTGCTATGACATTTGACTTGTATTGGTTACCTCTTGGTACAGATTACCCCTTGCGTACCTGCTTTCTAACCAGGTCTATGTCGTTAATATAAAACACCATTTGGGCATGGACTCCTTTAAGTGGCATAGTATTGCGCCACTCTGCAACTGATCTTTATTTTGTGCTAAGGATCTGTTGTACTTTGTATCTTCATTTGTTGCGCGAAAATTCGCCGTTTAGGCCGCATTCGCATCGCGCCTGTGTCCTCTTCGTTAGTCACTTGTTTTGCTCTGTATTCGCAGGTGGCCATTGCCTGTTGTAAATGGCCGCTTTGAGGACCAAATTGTGCACACATTTTTCGGTTGCAGGGTATTTAGGTGGTGTCCTACCAGCCACACAGTAACTAGATATTTTGATTGTCCACTAATACCATGCCTTTGTTTATTAGCTTCCATAGACCCACATTATAAACTTATTTCTCTTCTATTAATTGCCATCATGCATTTATTATTCTGACTAGGCTGTTCACTAATGATGGCTTTATTACTTCTCACTTCTCTAGACTAGCCTGCTATGGTGCATGTTGTATTATTATACATTTTCTTAAGAAGGATATTTTTCCCTGGAAACATCGTTTACCTGTAGACTGTCTTCTTCCATAACTGCTTCCCCATTACTGCTCCTTTTTGCTCATTTTGTCTTTGCTGTTGGTCATTGAATGCAATTCTCTGCTGCATCTGCTATACCATTACCTGGTATCTGCCTTCCTCTGCAATTCTGCCAGTTTTGTTATTCCACTGTACCCGTTTAGAAGGCGTGGCATGGTTAGTTTGGTCAATTTATTACTTTTATCTTGCTACGTTTACCATTGTTTCCTGTACCATGCTACGCTTGTGCCATAGTTTGCAGGTCTTTGTTTTTTTTGTAACGTCAGTGTGTGATCTCAGGCCACTCCCAGACAGGCTGCACTCCTGTTCCCCGGTCGTTCTGCGAATAGGAAGCGTCGTCATATTGGTCTTTCCACTGAATTTGTGCCTACCACGCCTCCTTCGAGAAGTTCTGTGAGGCGTCGTGCGTGCAACTTTGATAGACGGGGACGCTTGCACCCACTGCTTGATTCAGAAGGTGAACTTGACTCATCCGAACTGGACTTAAGAACTCCTGAAGACTTAACAGCCAGTTCGCAGACTCAGCCTCCTGTTGCGTTGGATGGTGATTGTTCGTTGCCTGATGTGACTCTACCACCTTCACAACAATCAGACTTCAGTCGAATTATCGATCATGGTTTCCCTGACTGTGAATGCCAATACTGTGGTGCACGGTTCTGGTATGAAGAGCGGCTTAACAGGCATGCATCTCTTGCTCCTGTTTTCACGCTTTGTTGTCAAAAGGGACGAGTACGCCTCCCATTCCTACAGGAAACTCCTCAGTACCTTGAAGACCTCTTGGGTGTTAATGCCGGTCCTATGGCAGCGCACTTCAGGGAACATATACGCTCCTATAATGCTGCTTTTTCTTTCACATCTTTTGGAGCACGCCTTGATCCGAGAGTTACACGTTCACGAGGACCTTATTCATTTGTGATATGCGGAGAAAATTATCATCGAATGGGATCTTTGCTTCCTGCTGCAGGCCAGAGACCTAAATATTCTCAGCTATACGTCTTTGACCCGCAGACCGAACTAGCAGATCGACTCTCCAATTTCTCTTCTGCTGAAAGGTCCCTGCGTCCTGATATTGTTTCTGGTTTAATGAAGCTGTTTGACGTGACAAATGAATTAGTTAAGTCTTTTAGACGCATTCAATCTGAATTGAATGATCCAGCATCAATCAATTTAAGACTGCGTATTGTTGGTGCACGGGACACAACATCTCGACAATATGAACTTCCAACTGGTTCAGAATTGGCTGGACTCATTCCTGGTGATTTCTTGCCTGATAAGGAAGAACGAGACATCATTATTGATCATCGGTCAGAGGGCCTGAAGAGGATCACAAGTGTACACCCGAAGTTTGATGCTTTGCATTTTCCAGTCCTTTTCCCATACGGAGAAGATGGATTCCATGTAACCATACCGTATGATCCTGTTCATACTCCCAAAACATTGAAAAGGAAACATGTGACTCAGAGAGAGTACTATGCTTACCGGCTTCAGCACAGAGACGACGAAGGTCAGACATTGATGCGAGGTGGGAAGGCACTTCAACATTACGTGGTTGATGCATATTCCACAATTGAACAAAACCGACTCTATTATTTGCGATCGCATCAAGAAAACCTCCGTTCTGAACTATACTATGGCCTTACAGATGCTTTCAACAGAGGTGATGTTACAGGAGATGCTGTTGGCCATGTTGTTCTGCCATCATCGCATACTGGAAGTCCTAGGTATATGAAGCAACTATACTTAGATGCAATGGCTGTTGTCCACCATCATGGCAGCCCCGACCTATTCATAACCTTTACGTGCAACTCCCAGTGGCCAGAAATAACAGAATCTTTCCGCACTGTCTGTGGTGCACGCAGCGAACTAAAACCAGAGATTGTTGCTAGGGTCTTTCGCATGAAACTGAATGCACTGGAAGATGAATTAACACGAGGCCATTTTTTTGGTCAAACAGTGGCAGGTTTGTTCGGTTGCCTTCTGTCTTACTTCCTTTTACAATTGCCTGTTATCAATTCTCCTTTTCCTGTTACTCTAAACTTCCTCACTTACCTCATGTTTTGTGCTCTAGCATAAATGACACATTTCGTTGCCTTATAATTCCAGGTATCAAAACCGTCGAGTTTCAGAAACGGGGTTTGCCCCATGTTCATATACTTTTATGGTTGGATGCAAAGAATAAGCTACGACAAGTTTCTGATATTGATGCAACTGTTAGTGCTGAACTGCCAGATCCATTACTAGATCCAATTGGGTATGATGCTGTGACAAAGTTTATGCTGCATGGTCCGTGTGGTCAAGATAATCCGACCAATGTTTGCATGAAAGAAGGATCGTGTTCAAAGTATTTTCCAAAACCGTTTAATTCAGAAACTACAACGGACCAGTTTGGCTATACAGTCTATCGCCGTCGCGATACAGGTATAACAGCAGTGAAAGGTACAGCTATACTAGACAACCGGTTTATCGTTCCATATAATCGGAATTTACTTGTGCTGTTTCAAGCTCATATCAATGTCGAGGTCTGTCATCAAGGCCGCTTGATTAAATATTTGTTTAAGTACATTACAAAAGGGCCTGATAGATCCATGGTTCTTGCTGAAACTGCTGGCTTGTCTGTGTCTGATTCTGCTACCCCAAACCATATCCCTCCATTGGACGAAATTAAACAGTTTCTTGATTGTAGAAGTCTGTCTTCATATGAGGCAGCGTGGCGGATCTTTGAATTCCCTGTTCATGAACGAACACCGCCGGTTCAGCGGTTGTGCGTTCATCTTGAAGGGAGACATTATGTTCCTTATAGGAAGAAACAACGGCTGTCTCGAATACTTGCCCGCGATTCTGTTTCAGAGACAACATTGACACAATGGTTTTACCTTAACCAACGAGATCCAACTGCAAGGGATCTACTTTATGCCGAGACTCCGAATCGTTATATATGGAATGTGAAAACAAAAAAATGGGCTCCGCGGAAAAGAGGGTTCTCAATTGGAAGAATTGTCTATATCCATCCAGGTTGTGGTGATACATTTTATCTCAGACAACTTCTTACCAAAGTTCGTGGGTCAGTTAGTTATGCAGATCTTCGGACAGTCCATGGATTCCCATGTAGAACATATCAAGATGCGTGCCAGCGCCTTGGTCTTTTGTCTAACGATGATGAATGGTTACTTGTGATTAAAGAAGTCAGCCAATGGGGCATGTGCCGCTTGTTACGATACCTCTTTGTGTCCATGCTGATGTTCTGTGAACTATCAAACCCACTGCAGCTTTTCAATCAGACATGGGAATTGCTTTGCGAAGACATCACATATAGGTGCCAACGAGACGTTTGCTTCAACAACAACCTCATACCAACTGAATTGCCCAAAATAAATTGTTGTGGGAATTGCAGCACATGTTACATGCTTATTCAGCCACGTTATCTCATTTTAACCTTCCCTTGCCAACAGATGATCACCCACAAACTGATCCCTTGCTTCAGTTTGGAACTGATTCACATCCTGGTACTTTAGCTGCTGTGGATTCCCCACCTCCTGTAGTTGGTGATCTTAACAGAAAGCAACTTGAAGCTTTTCATTGTGTAATGGAATCTGTTATGTCTCCAACAGAAGACTCGCCTACATTCTACTTTCTGTATGGTCATGGAGGAACAGGCAAGACTTTTCTCTACAAAACTATTCTTGCGCAACTTAAAGAAGCTGGAAAAATAGTTTTGGTAGTTGCTTCTTCAGGAATTGCAGCAACATTACTTCCTGATGCAAGTACAGCTCACTCTCGGTTTAAAATACCACTGGAAATCGATCATGGTTCTTCATGTAATATCAAGAAAGGTACGCCATTGGCTCAATTGATCATTAATGCATCGCTTATAATATGGGATGAAGCCCCAATGGTTCACAGATTGTCTTTTGAGGCAGTAAACAGAGCTTTTTGTGATATTATGGATGTTCCGTTTGGTGGTGCACACTATAAACCGTTTGGTGGCAAAGTTGTTCTTCTTGGAGGCGATTTTCGTCAACGCTTCCAATAGTAGCTGATGCTGGCAGAGAAGAGAGTATTGATTCATCTCTGACCTGTTCCTTTTTGTGGCAACATTGCACTGTGTTGCACTTAACTGAAAATATGCGCGTGGTTGCTTCCCGGGAGAGTCAAAGGTCAACTTTTGGTGGCATGCCCTTTACCGAATGGACTCTTGCTGTGGGAAATGGGAATGTGCCAGGAAAATCATTTCCTTCTAACCAATCTACTGATTGGATAG